CCCCTCCCCTCCCCTCCCCTCCCCTTCCCTTCCTAACTTAGGTTACATGTTTTTGTGTGATTTTTCTGGGGAGACATGAATAAAATTTACTCACCTCAGACAGGGAGCCTATGACAGACCAGAGTACTTGCTGCACCAAGGCCAACTTGGTAAGCTGATGAATGCGTCAAAGACAGGTGCTTTATCAAAGCCCATTCCCAAAGCCCAGCTCACAGAAGCTGAAAACCTGGAGCCTACTGCACAGCTTGCAGTCAGCTCAGCAGGTTGGAGTGTGTCCTTTCCAGGCAGCTCAGATGGCCTTTAGGCATTTCATCTCTGCTTCCTCCAGATGGCCTGCTTGTCTGAGAGTCCTCTCTCCGCAGTCTTTACTGGTCATACCCTCTTAGAGAGGGAGGGGGCTAGTGATTCTGGTCAGTTTCAGGGACTTCCTGAAGCTGCTTCTAGTTATTTGCTACTTTCTGTCTCCCCCCCTCCTCCGAGACAAGGTTTCTCTGTAGCTTTGGAGCTTGTCCTGGAACTAGCTCTTGTAGACCAGGCTGGTCTTGTACTCACAGAGATCCACCTGCCTCTGCCTCCAGAGTGCTGCTATTAAAGGCTTGTGCCACCACCGCCCAGCTGGCTACTTTCAGTCTTATGAGCTTCCCTGCAGTATTTCACCTCCCATTCACTATCCCTCTTCCCTGTAAACATCATGTCCTAAGAAGCTTCCCTCCAAAATGGAAGGTTCTAATCCAGAGGACACTGCTGCACTTCTGTAGCAATAACATCTTCTCAGGGAGAGGGTAAGTGGGCATTGGCCAGAATTTGAGCTCTGGAGCCAACCCTGGTTGTGGGACATGAAATTACTCAGAATGGTATTTGAGATGTGCACATGAGGCATGCAGGATGTGAAGGAGAGTGTGGACACTTGAGAACAACTGAGGTCGGTCTCCAAGAAAAGAGTGGAGTATTGAGATGTTAGAGAGATCCTGTATGGAGCCTGTCTCACCAGCCTGCGGAGCTGCCAGGACCCAGCCGTGTACTTGGAGAGTTGGCTTCATGATGTCCTATCTCTGAGACCACTGTTTGTCCTCACTCTTAGCTGACTGGTGTGCCACCATTCCTAGGTCCACCTAATTATGACCAAATGGCAAGGTTGGTTTTACTCAATTCCTGACACATAAACTATGGCAGTTTTTTTTTTTTTTTACAGGAATTGACTTCATTTGGCCCATTCGCTGGGCTTAAAAGCTTCTCAGATCTTGCCGAAGGCCATGCACTATGGAGAGACAGAGCCTGCGCTAAATCTTCCCTTTGCACTAGGTACGCATGACATCAGCCCTTTCATAAGGACATGTGGAAAGAAGGCTATCGTGAAAACTCTCCAGTTTCTCTGGGCTGAGATTTGCCCATTGACATAGTAGAGACCCTAGCAGAAGATAGGAAAAGAGCCGTCAGGATTAAGAGTCTATGAATAGCTTTAGCTCACGAAACTCTTCCAAGAACCTGACAACACTTGTTCTATTAGATCATTTAACAACAGATTATTTGTTTCAATAGTTTCCCAGGACTGACCTGGCACATCCTACATAATAAAGCAGTTGTCAAATGATAAACATCACGGACAGGGATCATTGGCATTACGCTGCTCAACCGAACATCCCTGGGGCCTTCTGCTTGCTTGGACTCCTCCACATGGAATGCTGTCAGGGATTCCCTGTGTGGGTGACCACATTTCCAAGAATTAGGAAAAACAGACTGTAACAAACGTTATAGCTCTACTGGAAAAAAAAAGTGCCTTTATATATTTGTATTTTGGAAGCAGTGGGCCTGTGAAGAACTAGAGAAGCTCATCTTTTTCACTTCCCTTCCTTTTTACTTGGTGTTCTTGTCACCAACCCCATCCCCAGGGTCTTAGTATGTTTCCTGCTGCTATAACAGAATGCCTGAGACTGGGTGATTTATAAACAAAGACATGTTCACAGGTCATAGCTCTGGAGGCTGGCAAGTCAAAGATGTGTCACTGTTATCTACCCAGCTTCTGGTGAAGGCCGTGAGCTGCTTTCAGCTCCTGGTGGGAAACAGGAGAACATGTCAGCATGTGGAGAAGAAACAAGACTTACGACAACCCTTTCTCAAGTTTGCCATTCTGTCCCTACAAAAGTGACAGCTCACTGGAGTGAGAAAGGTATCAATCTGTCCACGAGGGCACTGCCCCTGTGGCCCCCTTGTCTTCCGTTAGGTCTCGTCACACACCCTTGTGCTTTCAGACAGGAAACTTTTGGAGATGCAGTCAAACCATAGCACCTTGGTGCTTTCACGTGCTCTGACTATGGAATTTGTAGTGCTGTTTTCTGGAGTTTTCTCAGTGAATCTTCAGCCCAGAGACTGAAGGGAATATGCCACAAGCGACTCAATAAGGGCAACTTCTCATGCCCCGCAGGGCTTCCCAATGGCTTTTGGTTAATGCTGTCTCCAAACTCTTGTCCTGTCTTGAGTCAGCCTTCATCCCTGCTACTCTGTATCACAGGTGTAAGGACAACTGTGTAATTGAGCTCACCTAGTTGCGGACCTGACCTGAGTGTGTTGGGTGAGGTGGCCCCTGATGTGTGTTTGTACATGGAAGAGGTGACTGTCATCTCACTGTGGCATGGCACCATGAAGGGAGAATAAGCCTGACCTGCAAAGTCTTTTATACCTTGCACTGTGCCTGTTGCATTCTCTTCTGAGGCTGAGACCTCAGGAAAAAATATGAGGGTCCCTTGGAGTTTATGGCAGGGTGGGAGGACTGGGTCGAAAGGCCTGGTGAATGGAGCTGTGGATAGCGACATCTATGGTTTTGACTGTTCAGATGGAAAAATCCACTGAAGTCTGATTTTTCTTTTTCTTTTTTTCACATATAGCTCAAGAAGGCAGGAGAAGGCCCAGCAAGAGCCAGGATCTGCAAATAAAGCCGCCACCAGGTGACCTGTGTCCTAACAGCATCTTAATAAGTAAACATGGCACTGTGGTCATTGTTGGGCTCTGGATTTTGCCAACCCCTGCTGTTGGCTATACCATGGCATATGCTGGCCTATGCCAGTTGACAGCATGTCCCAGCAGGTTTTTGAGATACCTATAGTGGTTGTCTTCCTCGTCAATGTTCTTTGTAACATGGCTTCCTGTTCCCTTTGATGGCTTGCAGGCGGGACCTTGGGATATCACCAGTTCTCTGTGGACACGTGGGGAACTTGACATGGAAATCTGAGACCACCTTCAAATCCTGGGCCTCAGCCGGATAAAGCAATGGAGGTAAGAGGAGAAAGTAATGTCTTTACTTTCGAAGGTAGGTCATAGTCTCTTCTAGCCTCCTAGTAAGAAGCTAAGAAGGTCTGACTGCCCTAGCCTAAGTCGAAGGCCATGGATGGCAATGTGCATGAGTCAGGGTACCAGAAGGCCTACTAGCTACACTTCGTGAAAGTCGTTCAGCAGTTTTATTTGTTAATGTTTTGGCATGATGTGGAGACCAGGACCTGGAGTTTCCATAGTTCAGCCTTTGTTTATCCAACTCCTTATTTACTTTCTCTGATAGACATGAGAAAATAAAACCAGACAGAAATGGAGATCCAGGAAGTCGGTGGGGCTGGGAACTGAACTCATATTCTGGTGAAATAGGTGCATCTACTTTGTTTCTTTCTTTATCTTTAGTGTCAGAATATTAGAGCCACAGGGACCTGAGGGGTCACCAGGTTGCCATTTCTCTTTGTACCTTTTCCCCCGGAGGGCTGCTAAGTGGGGTTGCAAAGAAGGGGCATCCATCATTACAAGTCATGTATTAGACATGTTGCTAAGAAGGCAGGAGTGTCATGACAGCCATATAGGCATTTTGTTCTAGAAAATTCCTGAAGAAAGTCCTCAGGTTTTCTGGAAATAATTTTGATTCAATGGGTGGAAGGTTTTCTTTAATTCTGAATTGCTCATCATGAACTAGGTTGTCTTGGGAGATAGCCTGTATGGACAGAAGGGGACTAGCAGGGGTTAAGGAATCAACAGGCAGACACTTTGAGAAAATTGCTGTGCCAGGGTGAGCTTTCTGAGAATGAGCTCAGGAGTCTATCACACACCAGGATGACATTCACAGTTAATTGGGTTCCTGGGACTGCCTTTTCTCTGCACAGCTTTCGGCTGGATGCTGTGGCTGAGGCACAGGAAGTGTGGCCCAAGCTCAAGCCAGGAAGTGCCTTGATTCAGCTCATTGCACATGGCGGGCCTTCCTCACAGCTCTCCAGAGCAACTGCTGGACCAGCCTCCAGGAATGTGAGACTTTTCCCCATCCTGCACTTGGCTCCACGTCCTTTTCCCCACTGCCAACCAGAGAGCTGCGTATGTTACTCTTGCTCGTAGAGAAGACAGCCAGGGGAAAAACAGGAGAACGAGGCTTCGACGTGCTTCTGAGGACCCAGCAAGGCGTGTGCTCATGAATGGTTCAACCAACAGGAGAAAGACGTCTTTTACTGTTTCTCTTCGGTCCCACTGGGGTGTCTAAGGGAAGCAGAGTAACTGGCAGGCAGGATGTTTTCTTTTCTCTTGCCTGCATGTCTTACCCTGATCTTGAACTGAGAGAAATAATTCGTTAACGTGACAGAATCTAAAATCACCGGGCATGCCTGTGGGGGATTATTATCTTGGTTGTTTGTACTGAAGTAGAAAGACTCACCGGGGGTGACACCATTCCCTGGCTAGGACCTGGGACTGCAAATGGGGACAGGAACTGAGCAGCAGACAAGCATTCTTGCACTTTGCTTCTCACGGGGATGCCACGTTACCCAGCAGGTTCAAGCTTCTACTGCTTTGACAGCCGTGTCACATTGGACTGTGCCCTTCAGCTGTGAAGGAATCCTTTTCCCTCAGTCACTTTTGTCATCGAGTTTATCATGCATTCATGGAGACGTTAAGAGGACAGGTAAAGCACCAGCCATCTCAACCGACTTCAGGAAGTCACCAGGTACAAAACATGCAGGCAGGACTGAGCCCTCTGCTGCTGTGCCTGGGTTTGTCCACCCTCGGTGGTGAGCTGGTGTAATTGAGTGGTGGGCTCTGGGGACTGACAGGGAACTTGGAAAGGCGAGACTCTTCTGACCTTGTTAGAGGGTGAAAATTAGGTCAAGAGACTCCTACAGGGAGTGGTGGCAGCCTTGGCTGGCCTCCAAGTCTCCTGAGGGTTTCTGCTCTACCACAACATCAGCAAGAAATCCCTTCTGCTACCTGGGCTGTGTAAACAGATCCCCAAATGTCTCAGGAACACCATAATTTATCTTCCTCTTATACCACTGTGCAAGGAAGCTGAGACTCAGAAATAAAATGTTTAGAAGGATGAAGTGACCTGTTCCATATGCTTAGTTCTAAAGCAGGTTTGGGCACCCGGCCCTCCCTTCCCCATACCCTCTTGGCAGACAGCTTTCCTCAGAGGCCAGGGCATTGGATTCATACAATGCTAACAATGCCTGTCGCTTCCACAGTACTTTTCCACTCCTCAAAGACTTTCACAGACATAATCCATTTCATCTTTACCCCAGCCTTCCAGCAAATAAAACTCGGCATCTGTTTCCATGGACACCATCCATGTGGACACAGGCTACAAGGACCACTCTGTGTCAGGCATCATTTGTACTTACACACCTGCAGAGCAGAGTGGAACACCTTTGCAGTGACCTTGGAGTATAGTGAAGACAGAGTGGTCATTTGTTCATATTCAATGTCATTCATCACGTTTTTAAGCCATATCGCTGACTATGGGTTTTTTGATCTCAGAGCAGGTGGGAGTCCATATGCCATCTTGTAAGTCAGTGGTGACCACCTGAGGTCCAGGACATCCCTTTCTGTTGAACCAGAGGTTTTTGCTATGAGGTAATTCTTGGTTCTTTAGAAAGCATGCTTGCTGTGACCTCTGTTGGGTGCTGGACTGATCAGAATACATGTCACAGGTGAAACACTTTGTCACCCAATGTGACTGGAAAAGGAACGTCATTACGCCATGCCTGTATTTGTTCACGTACTCTCTCTAGGGCCCAAGACCCTTCTGGGAGGGCTCTGGGCAGGGCCAGTGCCCACTCCTGACCCTGATGGGTTGCCTGGGACTCTAACAGTGCTGTGTGTGGGCACAGCCTCTTTATTCAGGCCACAAAACCCACTGATGGCACTCTCCAGAACCTCCTTCACTTTTTGCTGTCTACCTGAGTTTCAGTGTTCTCTGTGCCAAGTATGCACTCAGGACCTCCAGCAAATCCCTCTCGGATTCCAGGAAAAGAGCTTCCTGCCCACCTCTGGCTCATGTTTCCCTACCTCTCCCAAATTTAGAGCCTAAAAATACCCTATTGTTGCCCTAATCCTACAGGATGGATAAAAGTCTCTCTCCCGCCTCCAGGCTCCCTCCTACTCAAATGGATGGCAACCCACGAGTGACAAAGTAGTATGAGGTAGACCCTAACCTGGTAGGAGTTCTCAGGCTTCCTGGCTCTAACCATTCTTCCTTAAGGACACTTGCTTTTGTTTCCACCTGAAAAGTATGTTCCCATCCACCAAGTCATTTATTCTTTCTGAATGTAAGGGAGGTGGTTGTGAAATTTCTGAAGTGAAGATGACATTTCAAGGAAGGCAGAAAGGTTAAAGGATTACACACAGCCTACAAAAACCACGAGGAGCAGGGTTGGTCCTGCGAGTGAAGCCCCAGGCAGGGGCGTTTGCTCTTTGGTCTTGTCCCTCCCTTGTCTGCAGCATCTTTGGTTCTGTGCTTTCAAAGATAAAAGATGTCATCGTTTTTCCCATTCAATTCTGTCCTTTCCTGAGTCCCTCCTTTCTGAGCAACACTGACCCATCTTAATCTCAGTAGGGGTGAGGAACACACACACCTAACTTGAGAAGTTAGTAATGTCAGAAGAAAGAGAGGGACAAAGAGAAGGGTTCGCAGATAGAGAGACAGAGAAAGAACAACAAAGAACAAAGGGGAGTTAATCCTGATGGGAGAGAAGATGAGACCCTGGGTTAGGAAGGCCAAGTCCTATTCTTAGCCGTATCACTCACTGACTGAACTACCTGGGAGAATCATCTAAATGCTGTAAGCCCCATCTCCCCATCTGTAAGGCAGACATTGCATAGTCCAGAAATGTTCATGGTGTGTTATTTTGTAGGCGCCCGAAATTCATTAATGAATGATACAGCTACAGAAAGCCTGTCTTTGGGTTGAGGTGGAAAATAAAAAGAAATATAACAATTGCAGGATTTAGTGTGCTAGAGACGGTGTGAGGTGGGGGTCAGGAACCCCATGTCTTCTTAACATACTCTATCATTGGCTGGGAGACATGGTGGAACAAACGTGGTGGCTTCTTAAATGCAGTGACAGACTGCAGAGCTCAGCGTGTGAGGTCCTTGACCAACCATGCTGCGGTGGGTGGGGGGTGGCTGGAGATCTGCAGGGAGCATCATGATGGCTGCTGCAGGAGAATACAGGCCTGGGGTGTGAGCAGATTGCCGTTTGAAGAGGGTGGGTGGTTGGCTGGCTCTCACAGAGAAAGTGATATGAGAGCAAATATTTGGAGGTGTGGGACGAGGCATGTGCAAAGGATAGCTGTCCTATCATTGTTGTTGACCTTACGACCCCGGTTTTGTCGGTGAGGGAGTTGGCTGTGGACTCATGCGTGGGAAAGAACTTTCTAACAGTAGAGACTCAGCTGCCAGAGAACGAACAAATAAGGCTATTTGTCCTGGCATCTTGGACTGACATGTCTCTAAGAGAGGAGATGCTGGCCTCTATCCCAGACCATGTGGGACCCCTCCGCTGGGGAGGAAGAACCTGGAGGGCCGTACCACCATTGGGAGAGCAAGGCATTCTGTTTCCAGGGCATGCTGCTCCAAGGGATCCCGAAGTTTCCGAAGGGCCAAAACAAATAGCTCTCAAAGTGCCCAGAGGATAGAATCTTATTTCCAGCCCAACAATGGGATATAAAACACAATCTTCTTTTCTCAGACATCTAGATGAATATACTATTCACCTTGACAACTGCGGTTAACAATAGTTCCTGATAAGAGATAATATTTGTCCCTACGGCGTCCTGGCAGTAAGTTTCATCATTAGAGCACAAAAGACAAGTCATCAGAGGCTGGCAGTCTCTGAGTGTCTAGTGCTGGGCTCTGCTCCAGGTCAGGTAACTGAGCTGGGTTACATGAGCGTTCAATACACTGCAAAAATAAGAAGCTGAGATGAAACACACAAAACTCAGAGGGTCAGTAGTGGAGTTGGAGTTCACACATAGGCACATGTGTTTCCGAGGACGGGGCTCCTTACTGCACTGCTTCTCTCTTGCCCTTCTGTTCACTCACTCCTTGTTATGCTTCAAGCACGGAATTGTATTGTAAAGACCTCTCTGAGGATTTGAATCCCCACCTCCCATTCCTTACATACGTTGCTGGAGAAACAGGCAGAACATTTTTGTCTCTGCTTGACTCACAGCATGATTTAGGGACCCTCTGTGTGGACGCTTACAAGTTGGGGTAATGCTGGCCAGGTTGACTGCACTTTCCAAGAGAGATAGGCTGTCCATATGCATTCTTATTCTTTGGCACTGGGTTTATAAAGAGCACTTTATGACAGTATTGCCTAAGGACACTGGTAGAATCCCAGGTCCTGTTAGTGGAAATTCTGATTTGGGTGCAGCTGGATGGGCAGCCATTGATTGGAAAACAGCCACTTGATGGCATTGCTGGGGGAAATGGCCCTTGTTCTTCCTTGTGTCCTTTGGAGAAGGACTAAGGAGAGATGGCTCTACTGATTCTAAGTAATGCCAGGTGACCCCCTCCCCAGCTTCAGTCACAGGTCTAGGATCCAGATCGCAGTGGTGGGAACTATGGAGACTTCATGTGTGCTTTCCATGTGGTCACACTTCCTCTTCCTGCTTAGAAATGCTCCTGTAATATCTCAGAGAAGGAACTTGGCCCTGTCTTGGAGCAGAACTATATGAGGAGCTAGGAACTTCAGGGGACTTTTACAACCCTTTTTTGTTTGGCATATACCCTGGAGAATGAAGTTAGAGGTTAGTGTCGTGAGATCAATGGATATAGAGTCCAAGCCTCCCAATTGCCCTTGTTCAGTGACTCCAATAAGTAAAAGGCTCCCCTGTCCAGTGTGGTCTACAGTGTGTGGTCCTGCTGATCCAGAAGAGTTGAAAGGACTTTACAGTTCAAGTTCTCAAACACTCAACATGCAGTGGACAAAAGTAATAGCTAATGCCACCCCTCATCCATTTTTCATATTGACTTCCAGATGCTGTCCCCAATTCTTTTCTAATAGATTGCAGTCTCTCCCTTAGTTCATGGCCTCCCCAATTTTGGTGATAAAGTGTCTGATACAGTTTTGGATGGAAGCAGGCAACTTGTGTTGAGTTGTAAGGATTTGAGATGAATTAGTTTATTAAATTCTCATGACTTGCTGGGCAGTTGTGGTATATGCCTTTAATTCCAGTACTTGGGAGGCAGAGGCATACAGATCTCTGGGAGTTCAAGGCCAGCCTGGTCTACAAGAGCTAGTTCCAGGACAAGTTCCAAAGCAACACAAAAACCCTGTCTCAAAAACAAACAAACAAACAAACAAAAAAACCCCTCATGACTGTCTCCTGTTATCATTACCAGTTAACAATGGGGAAACTGAGGTACACTGGGGTTCAGTAATTCCTCCAGTTTATGAAACTAGCTTATGGTGGAGGAAGGTTTTGAATCCAGGCACTTTGATCCATGGAAGATTGTTTATTTTAATGTGTGTTGAAAACCAAAAACTTTAAATGTCTCCAGGGAGACAGGGACTCCTGCCTAGCTTGCTATCATGATGATCTTGACTAAATCAAAGACAATGTTAAGTAAAAAAAAAGCTGGAAATATTGTAAAGTAGGCCCTCTACTTTTCAGAAGAGTAAACTGAGGCCCAAGATCCAAAACATCATCCCCAGCGTCCTATTGTAGGCTTCTAGCTAAGCTGGAGTGTTTTTCTCTGTCTCTCGGGGCCAGCTTCATGCTCAGTGCTTTTGTCCAGAATGTCCGTTCACATGGATTTGAAAGTCAAGGTTTTCATAATTTAAATTATTCAAAAGTAGTTTGGAACTAGGCATACCTTGTAGCTTACATCCATCAGAACATTTGAGATTCACTCCCAAAGCCATTCGGCAGACAGCACAGGCCACAGTCAGCTGAGCTTCTCATGGAAGTACGACGTCCGAGTTCCAGACAAGGTTGCAGTCTAAAGCTCTCTGGTGAGTCGTCAGCTGTCTGGAGCCTTCTCTCCTTGTGCCCATGGCCTCACCTCTTTTTCCTCAGGGCTCTTCTCCCCCTGAAGGGGCTTCACCTCTTTATTCCACTCTTACCTTCTCCTCCCTGTCTACTCACACCCTCCTTATCACAAGTTTACTGCCCCCAATACAGCTCCTCCTGCTCAGAACACACTCCTCCTCCTGGGGACCTTCCTTCTCAG